CCTCCTCCTCCTCCTCTTCCTTCGGGACCGCATCTCAATGTATTGATGTCAAATCCACAGGTACGATTCCTATGACTCTTGGTAAGTATCAAACCCCGCTCGACCGGGTGATAATAGAGATACAATCATTGCGGATGCGAGAGAGAGCAGTGGGGCGAGTGAAAAGACATGAGGGTCAGAGGTGGGACGCAGGGTTCGTAATGGAGGGCGGAGGACTGGGTTGTTGAGTTGAAAACTTACTTAGAGGTGGAACCTGGAAAGAGGGAGCGAGATTTACGATTGAAAAAGGCTATGTGGGTTTTTATGCTCAGCGTGAAACTTGATGCTGGGAGAAAGTTAATAGTCTCAAGCGCAGCACCTAGGACCAAGCCTAGACAAAAAACCCGGCACTGCCGTTTTTGCAGCTCAAACCGAATCCAGAAACTCCTATGTACCTTTTTTTATGTACCTCTGTGCTGCAACAGTTGCGTAAAATTGAAAACTTGTGTGTGGATGTGTATGCGTATGTGTATGTGTGTGCGTGTGTATACAAGGATGTGTGGGTATGTGTGTATGTATTCAGGATGCGTTTTGTCCGGGTTTTTAACTAAGGAACCAGAGAGGCTTCGAAGCTGAAATTTTAGCAGGATTTTTTTTTTTTTGATCACGCATACTTAAATTTACGTTGAAAATTATTAATTCGGGAGCAAAACAAAACAGAAAGCTGAAATTAATGGAGGATACTTTCTGCCCAAGCGCGACTCCACAGATTCAACTCTAGCTGTCACTAATGCCTACTCTTCATATAGGTACATGAAATTTTCGGTGGGAAATTCCAAACCAAATAACACTTTGACTACTTTTTTCGCACACCAGACTCTAAGTCAGTGAATACTGTTCAAAGCAAACGCCTGCTGAGCAAAACTGCCCAAAACTTATGGTTGTACTAGCTAAAATAACGCGTGCCGCTAATTTTTTTTTAATGGTTCTGCATATTTTCTAGACGGCTGGTTCCACTTTTCTTTTTCTGTCTAAGTGATTCCGCTTCTTACAGTCAGTCGGTCGTGATCTAAATCCGTAAAAGTATTACGTGTGAGGCCGTTATACGAAACTATGGTTGCTCTAAGCAGTGTTAAATGGGAATGCAAGCCATTATTGATCTGGTACTGAATGCCGTCAATCATATTTAGAACAAAGTTAACTTTGAGGGATATGTACCAACCATGTGCTAGGTTCCAAGTTGTCCATACTAAGTAATACTGAAGCCGGTGCTCTAGTCCTCATCTAGTCTCTTTGGAAAGGTAACAATTATTTCAACTTGCCAAGTACTTATTTTGAAATAGTGAGAAATCTGAAAATACTAACTTCAAAGA